ATCTCTCTCTCTCTCTCTCTCTCTCTCTCGTCTCTCTCATCTCTCTCTCTCTCTCTCTTCTTCACTTCCTCACTCTCCATCTCTCCCTCCTCCCTCTTCGCAACCTCTCTTTTCCTCTCCCCCTTTAAACGCCCCTCCCATCCCCTACTTTCCATCCACCCCTTCCCCTTCCCCCTTTCTTTCTCCCCCTCTCCTACTTTCTATCCCTCCTTTCTCTCTCTTCCCTCACCTCCCTCCCTTCCCTCCCCCTCCCCCCTCATCCCTCCCCTCTCCTCCCTCCTTCCATTCCCTATCCTCATCCTCCCTCCCACCCCCCCTTTCTCCCTTCCTCCCTTTTCCCTCCCCCCTCCCCTTCCTCCCCCTTCCCTCCCCCTTTCCCATCCCCCTCCCCTCCTCCCCTTCCCCTCCCCCTCCCTCTCCCCCCCTTTCCATCTCCCCCTCCCCCTCCCCTTCCCTTCCCCTCCTTCCCCCCTCCTCCCCTTCCCCCTCCCCTCTCCCCCCCCTTTCCCTCCCCCTCCCCTCCCCCTTTCCCCCCCCCTCCCCCCTTTTCCCCCCCTCCCCCTCCCCCTTTCACCCTCCCCTCCCCCCTTCCCCCCCCTCCTTCCCCTCCTCCTCCCCCTTTCCTCCCTCCTCCTCCCTCCCCTCCTCTCCTCCCCCTTTCCCTCCCCTCCTCCTCCCCCTTTCCTCCCCCCCCTACCCCCTCCCCGCCCTTCCCTCTCAAAACAAAAGAACACAACAACAAACTGAGGTCTTCTGCCATCCGTTGCACACTGGTTGCACGGGATTGCAGACACAAGGCACACTCTCGCTCGACCCTTTCTGATTTCGTCAACGCTTTTGGGGGAAAAGTCTTCTTCTCTCTTCTTTACTGGTTCTCTTTTTCTCTTTTTCTTCCTCTTTCTCTCTTTCTTCCTCTTCTTTAGTGGTTCTCTTTTCTCTTTTTCTCTTTCGGTTCTTCTTTCGTCAACGCTTTTTGGGAAAAGTCTTCTTCTCTCTTCTTTACTGGTTCTCTTTTTCTCTTATTCTGTTTTATTGGTTCTCTTTTTCTCTTATTCTCTCTTTCTCTCTCTTTTTCTCTTTCTCTTTTTCTCTCGTTCTCTCTCTTTCGGTTCTGATTTCGTCAACGGTTTTTGGGAAAAGTCTTCTTCTCTCTTCTTTACTGTTTCTTATTTTCTTTTCTCTCTCTTCTTCTCTTCTTTAGTGGTTCTCTTTTTCTCTCTCTCTTTTACTACCTCCCCCTCTTCTTCCTCTTCTTTACTGGTTCTCTTTTTCTTATTTTTTTTCTCTCTTTCTCTTTTACTACTCCCCCCCTCTTCTTTACTGGTTCTCTTTTCTCTTTTTCTCTCTTTCTCTCTCTCTTTTTACTACCTCTCCCCTCCCTCTTCCTCTTCTTTACTGGTTCTCTTTTCTCTCTTTCTCTCTCTTCCTCCCCTCCTTCTCCCTTCCTCCTTCCCCCTCACCCTCCATCTCTCTTCCCCATCCTCTCTCCTTCCTCCCCACCCTCCCTCCTCCACTCCCACTCCCACTCCTCCCACCTCCTCTCCACCCTCCCTCTCCACCCTCCCTCCTCCTCCACTCCCTCCCACCCTCCCCATCCTCTCCTCCCCTACCCTCTCTCCACCCCTCCCATCCTCTCTCCTCCCATCCTCTCCACTCTCCTCCTTCTCCCTCCTCCCCTCTCCCCACTCCTCCTCCCCCTCTCCCCACCCTCTCCTCCCTCTCCTTCTCCCCCTCCTCCTCCCCCTCCCCCCGCTCTTCAAAACCAGCTGGCTTAAGTCGTGATGTAGTTATCGCTCTCAATATAGTGTCGTTGCTCTTAATGTGCGAGATAAAGGTGGGGGTTGAGGGCACGGTGCTTGGGGTGGGGTGGGGGGGTGGAACCTCTTCATTCATTTGGTTGGGGTGGGTGGGGGTTGGGGTGGGGTTGGGGTTGGTGGGGAGGGTGGTTGGTGGGGGTGGGGTTGGGGTTGGTGGGGGGTTGGGGTGGTGGTGGAGGGGTGGGTGGTTGGGAGGTGGGGTGTTGGTGGGTGGTTGGTGAGGTGTGGTTGGGGGAAGGGGTGGAACCTCTTCATTCATGGGGGTTGCTTTTGGGGTTGTGGGGGGTTGGTTGGTGGGGTTGGTGGGTTGGGGGAGGGTGGTAATGGGTGTTGGTGTGGGGTTGTGGGGGGAGGGGATGGTGGTGGGTTGGGGGGGAAAGGGGAAGGGGGGTTGGGGAGGTGGGGGGGTTGTGGTGGGTGTTGAGGGTTGGGGGTGGTGAGGGGTTGGGGGTTGGTGGGGTGAGGGGGTGAGGGAGGGAGGGGTGTTGGTGGGGGTTGGGGTTGGTGGGGTGAGGGGTTGGTGGGGTATTGAGGGGGTTGGGATGGGGGAGGGGGTTGTGGTTGTGGTCGAGGGGGGGGGAGGTTGGGGTGATGGTGGTGTTAATGTTGTTGTTAGTGGTTGCGGTAATAGTTCTGTTGTCCCTGTTATTGTCGTTGCTTCTACTGCATTTTTCACTATTTCTATTTTTATCATTATTATCTCTTTCTTTCTTTCTTTGTTGTTGTCGCTGTCTTTCTCTTATACTTTTTTTTTCTTATACTTTCTTCTTTGTTATTGTCTTCTTCATTTCCCTATATTTTTTTTTCTTTTTCTTACAATTACTTATCATTTTTCTATTTAATTTCTCCGCCTCGGAATCTGTATTATATTCATATCGATCGTAAATAATAAAATAAATGAATAAAAAAAAAATGATAGGATAAAATAAAAGATTAACTAAAAAAACTGAAAAAATTAATTATTAGATTAAAATCAGCTGTTTTTTACTCCTCTGTTGCCAGATATAGATTTAAGCGAGAAAAAAATTAGATGTCCTCACTTATAATCAATTTCAAAAGTCATGGAAGAAGTAAGAGTTATTTACGCCCGACACAAACAAATGGAAGGAAATGTGACAGGAAAAGATGGAGTAAAAAGAGAGAGAGAAAAAAATATGAAGAAAAAATAAATACATGAAACCGAACGAGAACAAAATGGCTAACATTCGCCCGCGTTTATTTTCGTTCCGATTCATGACTTCCGACTTCGTATGATTTAGAAGGTTATTTACCGGAAATTTCTTTCAATCAGCAAGGTAACTGACTGCTTCTTTTGGATTTATTTGCTTGTCTTTTTGTGTCTCTTTCTGTCTTGAAAGATTACGCCGAGTTATTTTAGGAACGTTCTTAATAGGTTTTATTTTTACCGTCTTTTTTTATGCGCGTTGATGTTTTTTATGAAGCCGAAGCCAAGGTCATGTGGAGAGTGTAGAATGAATGAGGAAATGCGTTCCTTTATAAGACCAAAGTCATGTTCATTTACTTTTAGAAATGCCTGGAATGCGTGTAAATATGCACGCACGCACTCACGACCAGACATACATGCATACAAATGTGTGTTGGTTTGTTGAGGTCTCTCTCTCTCTCTCTCTCTCTCTCTCTCTCTCTCTCTCTCCTCTCTTCTCTCTCTCTTCTCTCTCTCTCTCTCTCTCTCTCTCTCTCTCTCTCTCTCTCTCTTCTCTTTTCTTTCTTCTCTCTCTCTTCTCTTTTCTTTCTTCTCTCTCTCTCTCTCTCTCTCTCTCTCTCTCTCTCTCTCTCTCTCTCTCTCTCTCTCTCTCTCTCTCTCTCTCTCTCTCTCTCTCTCTCTCATTCTATCTCTCTCTATTTCTCTCTTTTCTCTCTCGTCTGTTCTGTCTGTCTCTCTGTTCTCTCTCTCTCTCTCTCTCGTTCGATCTCTCGCTTCTTCTCTTCTCTCTCTCGTTCAAGCTATCCTTCTCTCTCTCTCCGTCTCATCTCATCTCTCCTCTCTATCTAATTCTATCTACTCTCTTCTCCTCCTCTCTCCTCTCTCTCTCTTCGTCTACTCTCGTCTCATCTCTCGTCTTCTCCTCTCTCTTCTCGTCTCTGCTCTCTCTCTCTCTTTCTTTCTTCTTTCTTTCCTCTTCTTTCTCTCTCTCTCTTCTCTCCTCGTCTCTGCGCCTCTCTTCCTCCTCCTTTCTCCGTCTTCTCCTCTCCCTTCCTCTTTCCCTCTCTCTCTCGTCGCCTCGTTCTATTCTGTCTTTTATCTTTTCTTTTTTTTTCTCCTTCCCTATCNTCTTTCCTCATATGCAGGCATTAAATGCATTGTGACATATGCAAGATGTTGACACAGCCATAGTGTATCATAAAAGTAAATGCAGATAATTTACTTATGCAATAGCATGACTGGCCACTGAACATGATATAATCACTGAGATGTACAGTGATGCTTTTACTTCAATATGGTAGCTAATATGGTAAGTATTTTTGTATCTGACATATGTAATGTTGAAAGATAATTTTTTTATTGTTTTATATTTTGTACTACTTGATGTTTTTAATTAAGAATTAATAAAACCACAATCAAAGCCAGCAACACACCTTCTTCTGACAGAGGCCCTTCTGCAGGTGGTTCTGGAGACGCAGCTCAGTGGAGCACCTAAGGCCGCAGTGCTGGCCGGTGTGACACTTGGCAATGGCCCTTGTCCTTGTGGGCTCGGTATCTCTCCTCACTTGCGAACATCTGGAGGCACTCAGTGCAGCGGTGGTAGCCTCTCTATATAGGAAGGGAAAACAAAAAAATAATTGAATTCAAATGTGACCCTGCATATCTACACATGGCCATTGGAAATAAGAGTCTAGCATCAAAAATCCCTTAAGCATTTTTTCCCTGTGTAGAATTTAATTTGTGCAAATACTGCACATTCCAAGACACTGCTATAGAGCTAAATGTATTAAAATGAATACACCAAAACAGATTAATTAAAAAATGTGGTACCATAACAAACAAATTCTTAACAAAGAAAGAGAATGACCAAAAAAAATAAAGAAAAGAAAATATAATCACACTATATGTTTCTCTGAGCTCAAGAGACCCCAGACCTCCTCATTACCTCTTTGGTCGAGAGTCCACGGCAGTTGCCCTTCTTCATGTGATAGTAGAGTGAGATCTTGCTCTTGTAGGCTTTATCGCAATAGGGCAGACCTCATTCGTCCCTCATTGTGTGTGAGTCGGTGGGTCTTCATATTGTGAATGAAGCTAAAGGTCTTGCCGCAAATATCACAGGGGTATGGCTTCTCACCGGTATGGACCACCTGGAGGTTGAGACAGAGATAGAGAATTGGAATTGCAATTGAGGAAATAGAATTAGTGAATGAAGTTGACAAAGAAAAAGGAAGAATAAGAAAATAAATGTTACAAATATAAAAGTGATACTGAAAAATAAGGCATTCATATATCCAAAGTACCATGCTAAAAATTTATAAAAACAATAAATTTGTCTCAAATACTCAATTAGTCATGTCTATACCTGCACATTTGATATATTCAGTTATACATATAGAAACTATAATTCTAGGGCAAACATCACTATAACAATTGCTTTTTACAATCTCAAAAAGTAACATTATCTCAGACAATGAAAATCATTCCTAAATACCCAATAAAATCCAATAAAGAACAGTACAACAACAAAAACTTATGCAACTTACCAGGTGGTCCCGCAAGTTGGACCGGCAGTTGAAGGTCTTGCCACAGTAGTCACACTCAAAGCCCTTCTTGCCTGAACCAGGAGCAACCTCAGGCGTAGGATGAGCTGTGCGCCTGTGGTCCTTCAGAGCTTCTAAGGTTGGCAGGTCCTCCCCACATGTGGCACATCGCACGCTCTCTGTTTAAAAGTCCAGGCGGTTTACATCTGATGTAGGCTTTTATGTGTATTTGATGTTTTTTTCTTAAATATTTGCTTTTTACTGCATATTTGATTCCACAATTTCTGAAAGTATATCTAATCTATGTTTTACATCAGACTGCATACTTTCTATCTTACATATATTTAGTTTTCATAATAAATCTCATTACATTATTCTAATACAAATGTATTCTCTACTGTATTTGTTATGATTTCTGTCCTATACCCAATTTCTATCGTATCAATATGAAATGCAGCATTTGCTATGTGTTGTCTCTTTTTTTAGGGGATAGTGAAAGAGAGACTGGACCTCAACCTCATTATTACTGTATCAAAAAATGATGTTCCTAAATATTCTTATCAAATTATCAGGTATTATTAACTCATAAAAAAAAGGGGAAAATATATCATATCACAATAATAAAAAATTATATTTTTATATCATAAAACAAATTGAAATCCAGGCCATAAAGTATAAATTCTTACCGTTCTTATTCGGGTTGCATGTCCCTTGGTACTTGACAATGTGACGCGTCAACTCCGATTTTGAAGGGAACTCCATTGCACATGATTCACATTTGTTAGACCTTTCTGTTGATAACCTGAAACAAAATAAAATCTAATTATTTCAAAAACTGTTAATACTTGACAGTTTAAGTATTATCATTATTGCAGTCACATATATTTTCCCCCAGTACATAATTAATGCAACTAAAATGTGACCTAAAAGAAATGGTAAATTTCTCAGAACAACTGAGAACCTATTCTGATCATCACCCAATGGTGACAAGGCATGATTCACTTATGATATAATATTACACAACCATCTAAACTTTGTGGCTAGGCCTAAGCTGTGTACAGCCAGCCCAGCCACTGTGAGTCATGACGCATTTACACATTATAAGCTGTTTCGTCATGACGAATGTAGCTGGCACTGTCAAAAAAGGGGTTAACAAAGCTAGCGACGTCCTTATGCCTCCTACACCACCTGAGCAATTCCTAAAGAATCACAAAAATATTCATCAATTGCCACACCAACCCATGAGAAAGTGTGTGCGTCTTGAGGGACGGCCGATCGGGGAAGCCCTGGCCACACATGTTGCAGGTGTATCCGAGTGCACCAGAGTGGGTCATCATGTGCCGTTTAAGTTCCTGCAAGACCTCGAACTCCATGTTGCATACTTGGCACTGGAACGGGATGTTGACGCTGTTGTGAGCCTGGGAGAGGGAGAGCAATTTGCAATTAGCAAGATTTCTCAAGTGAGGTGATTTTAAATATATAATTCTTTACTTAAATCCTTGGTAAACTGAAGCTCCATTGTTTATAACATTGTCATGGTATTTATAGCATTGTGATGCTTTCCAATACCCATTATACTACCATTCTATTGTTAGTATGAGTACTGCATTCTCTTCTCTTTCATATTAGAAAATCATATAGTTTGTGTACAACATTAGTGCTACTGTTGTGGCAATACAAGACCACTAGAGAGACACACACACAAAAAAGGCATTAAAAAGCTATAACATTTGATAACACATTTAGAACCATTTCAAAGTCTAATTTCCTCACTCACTCAAGCTTTTATACAAATACATAATCAAAGAAATGAGGCCTATCAATTGATGTTTAGTTCAGTTGATGTTTGCTTTTTCCAATCATTATTCCATATAGGCCTAGTAAAAAAAGAGCATACCAATTCAATTTAAAGACCTGGGTGCGCGCCCACAAACACACACACACACACTATATGAAAATAACAGAATTATGAAATTTGGTTCATTTGGTGATTCATTTCTATAAATCTTTCACCATGACATCAAAGTACTTACCATATTATTTTCAGAACTCAGTTCACTTATCAAAATATATCTTTATTCGGATATCAGTAACCAAATGATCAAAATGACTTTCAAGATCAGAAATTTTGAAGTAATGTGAACACTGATACTGCTTTTGGAATTTACATTCACTTATAAATGTTAACAAAATATATATATGTTATGTAAATATAAACCAAAAACTAAATGCAATTTTATGTTATCATAATGGCTACTTTTTCAATAAAACTTTTTTTCCCCTTTATCCTTCTTTTCTCCCCCCTCCCAGCTAATAGACCTATTCTAAAGATGACAACAATGGCATATGATGACTGCGATAATGATTGTATCAACGACGATAATGATCTTATTACAGCTGATAATACAGCTGATGAATAACATGGTCTACATCATTAAATGAAAGGCACAATTGTGATGATAACACTAAATTGCAAATCACTACAGTATGAGTGTCTGGTTGAGGCTATATAATATCACAAGTAGTGATAATATTGATAATTCTAATGACAACAAAATAATATAAATAACAGTATCAATGACAATGCAAATAACAAACATTTTATCGTGAATGATATCACAATCAATATTCACGATAACAATATCTATGTTGCGTAACAATAATAACATTAACAGCATCAATGTTACTAATATTAATATCCAATGACATGTAGTCTATCATAGGAAAAGTACCATTGTGAAATAACATTCATACTTAATATCAACTAGTTTGTATTCGTCCTTACTTTTCTATATAGATTCTCTCATGTAATTAACAGTTTTATTTGTTTATAATAACTCTTTTGAATTTGGGATGCATGTTTTTCAACCTACTCATCTATAATGGCATGAAGTACTTTTTAAAGTATGAATAATTATATTTCATTACAGTATTTTCTTCACTTTTTTCAAACATTACACTAGTTTTACTGATGCTTTTTTTTTTTTTTTTTTTTTTTTTTTTTTTAGTAATTCCTTCTAATTTATGCTCAATAGGCTACATCAATGTGCTTCTCAATAAATTCTTAAATGAAAACTTCTTTCTGCATAGGGTCAAGAACTCAGCCATCCAAAATACCAATGGGAAAAAAACACTAAAAATAATACATTGAAAATTGTGCTCTACAAGGCACTATGCAGCAGTTGCCAACTAAAATCCTATTCCTTTTAATGAGGAGTTGAGAAGTTGAGGGTGATGGGGAAGGGGAGAGAAGGGTAGGGGGGGGGGGGAGCCAATCACAATACAGCAGTGTGTTACAAAAAGGGAGCTTTCAAATCAAGCTATATATAAATTCATGAAAATAAATTTCTGGGTTTCCTATCCTTCTGGAATCTTATTTTAGTTTAAGAAATGAACTAGACTTCATGATACCACTGTAAGAGCCCCGTGAACTAAGGCTAGCTTTATAGACTACAGATAATAATAACAGTATTGATGATAGACTATGATAATAGAAATATATGACAACGATCATGATAAGAGAAACGAGCAGCAATAACTTCATTAACAATAATAAAGATGATTAAAAAGATAATACTAACACTATTAGTGGTTGTACAAATTTGTTAATTACATTAGTCTATATATGATAAATGAAGATAATAAAAAGGGGCAGAATATACAAAAACAATAAAACAAAGACAACAGAAAAAAAAAAAAAAAAAAAAAAAAAGATCAGAATGGTCTCAAACCTTACCTGGCGTTTGTGAGAAGTAAGCAGGTACTGGTACTTGAAGGCCTCACCGCACTTGTCGCAGGGGTAGACTCCGGGGTGGTCAAGTAGGATATCGCTAGGGATGTCATTCATGCCATCATTGCTGTTCTCATCGTCATTATCATTGCAGTCCTGGAAGCCATCAGCAGAGTCATCCTGACCACCGCCAGTGCTCCCACTGCCACCCTCGCTGTCCAGGAAGTGCGTTGGAGTTGGAAGACTGAGCAGGAAGTGTTCTGCAGGGAAGATGGGGTTCTCGCTCTTCTGATCCTCCTCGATCACAGTTGTCAGGAGATCCAGTGGGTTGATTTCCACTGGCTCCATGGGGGGCTCTTCACAGTCCATCCTATCTCCAGCTCTCTCACTATCGGGGCTGTCCCCTTCGAGGTTCCCATTCTGGATTACCATCCCTTGTTCTACATTGTTCAACATTGGAATCACATGATTTTCAAACCTATGACTAGTAGAAGCAGCTATAAATTGCACATTTCTTATATCAGTCATGGCGGGGCTCAACCCGTTTGGACAAGAGTTTTCCTCTACACTGTGCTTTTCCTCTGCCGTCCCGTTTGGAGACCGCACTCCGGAATCAGCAGGCTTGGGTGCACTCTGTCCGCCATGTAGCTATCACTTTTGCTATCACCATTTACCACTACCTGTTCACTGTCTTTGCACTCACTACCATTCACAAGAGACTTGTACTTCACTACAGAGGCTTTCTGCGTGTCACTGTCATGCGCTAAAAGATGCTGGACGATGGACACAGTTCCTTGGATTTTTTTACCACATTCCCCACAAGAATAAACCTGCAATGAAACAAAAGACATGTCATTAAAGTTTCAGTCTACAAAAATGCAAGACTTTTTGGGCGTAACTATTTCAAAACAAAATTACACACGTTCACAGTAACAAACAAATGAAAGTAAATGCTTGTTATGATTGCTATTCATCACTTTACCAAAGCAAATTGCTTCTGTTTACAAACATACAAAAGCTTCAAGGAGAGAAACTGAAGGATTTTATCTCTATTTCTTTATCAAAATTATCAATCTAGATAAATAACAACAAAGCCCCCATTAATAAGAGGCCATACTGAGTGAAACTATCAGACATTTGAAAAAACTGAATATACTTCAGTGTCATTTTAGGGTTATCTGACACGGAAGGAAAGATTGGAGGAGGAATAATAGGAAGGTAGAAACAGATGATCACAAGAAGGAGAAGGGGAGGGTAAAGAGAAGGGGTAATAAAGATGGAGAGGATGAGGAAAAGAAGGAAAGGAATATTACATAATAAGATAATAATAATATGAACAAAGAAGAAATAAGAAGATGAGAAATGAGATGAGGAGGAATCGAGATTATTAGTTACATAAGAGTCAAAGGAAGTTGGAGATCGGAGAGAGGTATGTGGAGACGTAGGTAGCGAGCAGTTGCTACGTTCCGCTGGCACTAGCACGTACAACAGAATGAGGAGGAATATGTAGCAGACTAGGCACTTTGTGCCTCCCTAGCAGTAATGTCAATCTAATAAATTGTTACAGGGAAGAATTTGGATTTCACTGTGAGTTTTATACCTGGGGCATGTTGTTTTCGTCGCATTAGTTGACGTACACTCAAACGTCACTGATGCCGAGAGAAAATGTCGAGAACGATCTGTATCGCGTCTCCACTAATTTTTGTAAAAACTATCCTTTTACTTGTCCGGGTGTACGACGATGTCGGTCTCCTCGTCGGGCTGTCATGGCGTTGTCGGATCCCTCTCCCTGCTGTCGGTGAGTGCGTGTCGGTTCTCAATCATTCTCCTCTCGGCAGCGAGGGTGCCATGCGTGTGGAAGTGAGTCCCTCCTCGTTCGGGTGTGCCGTGTCTGAGTCTTCGTCAGAGTATCGGCGCGTAGATTGGCCGCTGTGTCGTGCTCTCTCGAGTCGGGTTCGTTGCGGATGTCGGTCTCTCCTTTGTGTAAGTTTAGGGTGGGTTATCTGTCTAGTAGTGCACGAGAGAGCTTATTAACATCCGAATCAGCATCTACGAGGAGAGATATAAGATGGCGCCTTTGCATGTCATCTCTCACAGTTCTCATCGGAATCGGCGTGCGAATAGCGCATGACTCGAATATATCAGGGAATGTGAGGGTCGTCCGAGGGCTACCTATCTCTTCTATGATCAGTAGAAAAGAGGGTGAGAAGGAAGGAAAGACGGTGGAATTAGAAGGAATGATGGGAGCTTGTTGGGTGATAATGGAGAGAAGATGGTAATGATCGGGGAGATGTGGGTTTGGGACTCGTCTGTATGTTCAATACACACGCATACAAATCAGGCATACATATTTATTTTTTTATTTGCTTAATCAAACTACAATAGTCACACACTACAAAGATAACGTACAACATACTCACGACGTCATCCTGGACACACACCATCAAAGGCATTTAGATACGGAACAAAGAGACAGACAGGGATAGAGATAATGATAGTGATGGTGAGAGAGACAGAAGCAGAGAGACAGAGACTCTGTGTGTGTGTGTGTGTGTGTGTGTGTGTGTGTGTGTGTGTGTGTGGTGTGTGTGTGTGTGCGTGTGTATGTATATATATATATTATGTATGTATGTATGTATGTATGTATTTAGATAAGTATACGTGTATGTATACGTAGGTCTGTGTACACGTAGGAGCGTATATGTACGTGCGTGGACGAGCCTTTGCAAAAACGCACACATCACACACATACACACATGCTATATATATATAACACGAAGAGCTGAAATCATTCTTTAGTCGCAGAGGTTTCCATGTCGCATCCGGTAACGCAGCCTGGAAGGGGCGCGCCTCTCCACCTGGCTGAAAGACACTCCAAAGAGGATACGCGCGAGGGAGGGCTTAGGGCGCGGGAGGGGAGAGACGGGGGGGGGGATTTTTGTTTTATTTTTTTGTTTATTTTTTTCGGTCTGTCTGTTTTGTTTTTTTTGTTTTTTTTGTGTGTTTTTTTCTTGCTTTGGGTCTTGTATGTTTCTCTCCTCCACTGTTTTCATTCTCGCTCTCTCTTTCTCTTTCTCTCTCTTCTCTATCTCTCTCTCATCTCTCTCTCTCTCTCTCAGTCTCTCTCTCTCTCCTCTCTCGTCTCTCTCTCTCTCTCTCTCTCTCCTCTCCCCTCATCTCCCCGCTCTCGATTCTCCATCATCCCCTCATTGCCCTCTCCTCATCCTCCGCCCATCCTGACTCTCATCTCTCATCTACTCACATGCTCGCTATTCATCTGCTCCATTTTCCCCGCTCTTTCTCCCCTTCTTGTTGTCTGTCTATCGCACGCATTTTTATACCCTGTCCTCAGATCATTCCTTCTGAAGTGCCCCTCCCCTCCCCTCAACCCTCAGTAAAAGAGCTCGAGGCGAGAGTTGGTAGGTGTGAAGTAGAGAGGCGGGGAGGCAGAGGGGGGGGGTATCGGGGGCGGAGGGGAGTCTCGAGAGTAAAGTAGGCCGAGAGTCGAGAGCCCCCCCGGGCGAGTGTCCTGGGGCTGGCGGAGGATGGAAAGATGGTACAAAGAGACGAGATGAGCACGATTTTTTCCCCGAGACGGGACAGAGAGGAGACGAATGGGAGAAAGAGGGAGAGAGAAGAAATAGTGAGGAGAGAGAAGAGAAGAAAGGAGAGAGAGAGAGGGGAGGAAGAGAGAGAGAGAGAGAGAACGAGAGGGAGAGAGAGAGAGAGAACGAGAGAGAGAGAGAGAGAGAGAGCAATAGCGAGAACGAGATAGAGAGAGAGAGCGAACAGAGAGAGCGCGAGGGGAAACAAAGAGGGGACGGGATGAGGGGATTTGTCTGGGATTTATCTTGCGGATTTATTTGCGGGTTACGGTGTCATCAGAGGCGTGAAGGAAGAGATCTAGCACCTCGCCTCCTCTTGCTCCTCCTCCTCCTCCTCCTCCTCCTTCTCCTCCTCCCGTCTGCTTGGACTCCGGTTTCCTTTCCCCTTTTGGTCTTTTTATTTATATTTTTATTTGGACGCTTCTCTTTTGTGTCTATTTTTGTGTTGTGTTTCTTTTATCACTGTATTTTTTCTCGTCTAACTTAGCTCCGGTACCTCTCTCTTCCTCCTCTCTCCTCCTCCTCTACCATGTCAACCTTCCTTCCCCCCAACCCCTTTAATTTGTCATTTCCCATACCTCTTCTTCCCCTCTCTCTCTCCCTCCATTTTCTCAGCTGTCGCTCCTCCTCCTCCCTCCCTCCTCCTCCTCCTCCTCCTCCTCCCTCCTTCTCCCCCTCCTCTCCTCCTCTGCTCTCTCTCCCTTATCCTCCCCTTCTCCCCCTTATCCTCCCCTTCTCTCCTCTTCCTCCCTCCTTCTCCCTTCTTCCCTCTCTCTCCCTTATCCTCCCCACTCCCTCCCTCCCTCCTTCCTCCTCCTCCTTCCTCTCTCCCGTTCGTGTACAATTACCCGACTGACTATCAACTGGCGGCTCGGTCGTCTAATAGCGTTGCTCTCGGGCCCGCTCGGTGTCACGCGGTAATGGCGACTGACACGTTTAAACAGCCGAGTGACAGACATCGGAGGTGAAGGGTTCTCACGTCCCCCCCCCTCCCTCATCTCCTTCTTCTTCTTCTTCTTCTTCTCCTGCTTCTCTTCCCCTTCCTCGGATCGGCCTTCTTCGGTGTCTTACTCGTTTTCTTTCTACTTCTTCTTTTTCGTTTGTTTTGCGGGCACTGCTTAATCTACCCTTATTTCCTTTTTCTGTTCTACCTCCTCATCTTCTTCCATCTCTCTTCGTTTCACCTCCTCCTCCTCTCCTCCTCCTTCAACCTCTTCCTTCTCCTGCTTTACCTCCTCCTCCTCATCCTCATCCCCCTCCTCCCTCCTCCTCCTCTCCCCTTCCTCCCTCCTCCCCTCCTCCTCCTCCTCCCTCCTCCTCCTCCCTCCTCCTCCTCTCCCCCCCTCCCTCCTCTTCCACCTCTTTCGCTACATTTATGGCGTTAGTACCTCGTAGAAGAAGCAGTTAACGCTCCTGCAACTACAAGCACTTATAACCATACGTATTTTGCTATTGATGTCGTTCTCTCCATTTTGTTTTATTTATTTATTTATCTATTTATTTTTGTTCTTAAAAAGGCTATTCATTTTCTAGACTTCATATTACTATCATTCGTTTTCTTAAATATATATATATTTTTTTCTCCTAATTTTCGTATATTCCTTTTAGTTTGCCTCTTCTTCCCTGTTCTATGCACGTGTTTTTATTTTTATTTTTTTATTTTTTTTCTCTCTGACCCCGCATTTTTCACTTTTTTTTCCCCTCGAATCCCATTTACGAAGAATCCGAAACGTGTGTCGGACGGAAAGCGACTTTAGCCTGGATTTATTTTCGTTATTGTTGCTCGTGCCTTTACGTGTCGTTGTTGTTATTGTTATTTATTTTTTTCTGATATATTAAGGCGTGTTTACTCCTTCGAGAGAGGAAGGAAGGATTGGTTGGGGGGTCACATAGATAGATAGATACACGGGTTGATATAAATGGATAGATAGATAGATATATACACGCGCACACTCACCCACTCATTCACTCACCACTCACTCACTCACTCACTCACTCACTCACTCACTCACTCACTCACTCACTCACTCACTCACTCAGACACACACACACACACACACACACACACACACACACACACCACGCACGCACGCACGCACGCACGCACGCACGCACGCACACACAAACACACACACACACACACACACACACACACACACACACACACACACACACACACACACACCCACACACACACACACACACACACACACACACACACACAC